AGACACTACTTGCATCTCATGAAGAATTATTGGAACAACATGCTTCTCTCATTAAAGTGTTTTCAAAGAAACTTAAAAATAATGAGAGCTCATCACATGAGTCAAGTGATCAATTGCAACATATGACTAACTCTTGTGATGTAGGGAAAAAGCATGTATCCACCTCTTGTGATGATTTATTAGAAATGCCATGCTCTTCATATTTAGATGCTTCTTCTTCTTCTATATCTTGTGAGACTAACCTTTTGAAGGAGAACAATGAGCTCAAGAGAGAAGTGAAGAAATTGAGCAACAAGTTACAGAGGTGCTACAACACCAAAATCACCTTCGAGCACATATTGAGCAACAAAAGAAGTTATGGTGATATGAGTGGTATTGGGTTCAACAAGATCAAGACCAAGAGGGAGAGAGAAAAAAGAGAAGGATGAAGAAGCTACTATAAAAGAATTTCTCTCATTCCATGTGCTACAAATGCCATCAAATAGGACATCTTGAAAAGGGTTGTCCCAACCTTGAGAAGGTCAAGTTGAAGAAGGAAGAGGAGAGGCTAAAGCTTATCAAATGCTTCAAGTGTCGCACTTGGGGACATCACACCTCAATATGCCCAACCAAGCAATTGGTGAAGCAACAAGAAGTGCCTCAACCAAAGCTACAAGTTGAGCAAGAGAAGACACCCCAAGAGCAAGTCAAGATCAACCATGGAGATGATGGTGACTTGAAGAAAAAGATGAAGAAAACAAGAAGGGATGGAAAGGCAAGGCATCTAATACAAATTCAAGATGCCAAGATGATGAGCAAGACACAAGATGAGAAGAAGATGTATGCTCACATCAAGATGCTTCAAGTGTGAGGATATGGGACATTTTGCCTCGATGTGTCCAACCAAGCTTGAGAAGAAGGTTCAAACAAGTCATGAGAGGCAAGCCAATGAAAAGCAACACATGAGCAAGAAAGAAAATGCTCAATAAAAGAGAGTTTGCTACTCATGCCGGGAAAGGGCACACATGGCACATTCATGTCCCATAGGTAACACTCCTAAGCATATTTTATAACTTTTCGAGATCTACAACTTTTATTTTTATAGTTTCTCCGTCTGAGGTCGTTTACAAAATTTGAATTTCAAATTTGAGAAATTCAAACGTAGTTTTTTATGACAAGATGATTTCAAATGAAAAAGTTGTCAAGTACAAAGTTTCATAACTTTTCGAGAACTACAACTTTCATTTTTACTATTTATCCATCCGAGGTCGTTTAAAAAATTCAAATTTCAAATTTTTGAACATTCAAACGTAGTTTTCCTTGACAAGATGACTTAAAATAAAAAAGTTATCAACTATAAAGTTTCATAACTTTTTGAGATCTACAACTTTTATTTTGGTCATTTGTTCACAAATTTTATATATCCCTCTATAAGAGACATGTAAATTTTGTGAGCAATGTTAGTACCACTTCATCGGATGAAGAAATGATCAAAATAAAAGTTGTAGATCTTGTTGAGTTCTACAACTTTTATGTTCATGACTTTTTCAGCTAAAGTCATTTAATATTTCAAAATAACATTTAAAGTTGTCATTTTTTCAAATTCAAAATTCAAATAGATAAAACAAAGTCACATGAAAAGATGGACAAAATAATAGCTGTAACAACACAATAAACTGATAGAGCATGATTTTAGAAAATTTTAGGAAAAAAATCATCAAATTTGAAGTTAGTATGAGGGAGAAAGACTAGTTACAAGTTTTAGCCAGAGATTAAAAAGAGAAATTAGAGTTCTTCGATAATTTCAAAATTGAATTTTGAACAATATTTTGAAGTACTAAATGATTTCAAATGAAAAAGTTATAAACAATAAAGTTTCATAACTTTTCGAGATATACAACTTTTATTTTGGTAATTTATCCATCTAAGATCGTTTAAAAAATTCAAATTTTAGTGCTTAATTTTTACTATTCAGCATCTATTTATCCTTACCAATCCGATTTGTAGGGACGGTTGGATATAGAGCCGCTCCTACAAATAGAGTTATTTATAAGGTGTTTTTCTCACACCAAACCAAGTAGGCAAGTAAATAATCCACGATCGCTTACGCCTCCCTAATGGGGGCGAGCTGATTTGGGCACTATTTAAAGGGGCCCTCGTTTGGATATCAAAAGAGAGAGAGAGAGGCGTTGCAAATCTTTTTTTTTAAGTAGCGTCTGACCTGATCGATCAACAGGACAATGATGGGTCACCCAGCGCCTAGGATTCACTACACTACTATTGCCTCCACCGGATCGCCTGTCCACAGAATCGCAGCGCCAATCACGGGCCGATTGTTTAGCAGTGAGGACCGAGGACGGGCCGGAGCAGAGTGGTTGTTTGAACGTTAACTCTAAACTTTTCTGGAATTTTTAGATGTTAACTTTGAATCTCTGAATTTTTTGAATGTTAACTCTGAACTTCTCAGTTTTTTCTTAACTTGTAGTTGGGGTATGAGGATACGTACCTGATGTACTTGAATTCAACAACATGCAAATGAAGCACAAAGACAGTCAGTGTTTTGAAGCTGACTTTTCTGAATCCGAAACTATTGCTAAACCAGACACCCTGCATAAGACAACAAGTGAGACAAGCATGTCCAACAATCAATTAACCTTTGTGATGACTGGGAATCGCTTTGATACACATGTACCTAAAACAGTGTCCACTTGTTGAAATGTGGTACTGAAAACTAACTTGATGTATCATACTGGTTCGGATATTGGTACATTGAAAGTAAAGCACTGAACACAAAAGAAGTAGACTTTAATAAAATAAGTTAAGGACTGATTTTCATCAAGTAGCAGTATTGTCGGATTGGTATAGTTGATTTGTTTTTGGTAACCCTTTCAGGAACATCACAGAGTAGGCGATGTGTCTCTTTACGTGGCTTCCAGCAACCTGCAGCTTGAATGGATAAGTACCTGGAGACGACGGTTCAGAAGCCGAGCGAGGTGCACTGTGGGTCCGCGTCGACGGCAACCTTGGCGCGGAGATCCAGCGTGTGTCCGGGGGCAGTGTCGTGTTGATGCCCGTGCTGTGCTCGTCATCTGGGTGACGGCCCCGTGACGAGAGATAACGGCAAAAAGAGACGGCTGCGGGCTGTCACCCGACCCGATGATCTCTCGCTAATTGCGCAAAGAGAGGCAGCGTAGGCAATTGCGGATCCATATCGTCCAAACAAGAAAGGCAATTGCCTGGCCGGTTTGTCTCCTTCGAGCCCCACTCTAAGGTTTATTTGCAGCTTTGTTCGTACTCCCTCCATCCTATAATATTTGATCTTTATTTTACACCTATTGTAAATTAGTTGACATTCCACTTACTAATGAACCTTTTTTTATTATTTTTTTCAATATATCTCTATCTCTTTCTTTCTTGTTCTTTGTGCATTTTATCTTTTTCATCCTTATTTAATTCTCGTATTCAGAGCTAAAACATAATTTATTATAGGATGGATGGAGTACCGTAGACTCCTATGAAGATGTGGAGGGGAGAAGGGGGAGGGTGTGTGGTGGGGGGGGGAGAACTTAGCTCTCATTTAAATAATAAGCTGGAAACAAGAGTCTATGTAACGGTGGGTCTAGTCATAATATGAGGAAGATTAAGAAAGAAAAGGTGAGACACGGATGAGAGTAATGATAATTTTTTTAAAGAGAAATAAGAGACAACTATTATATAGCTATCTTGACTCTTACAATTTAATTTATTCTAACAATTGATTTTATTGTTGGACTTGGTCTGAAACAATTCGAGCATGACTAAACAGTGGATAAGGCTACACAGCCTACATTACTGTGGTGCGTAGGAAATCATAGAAGAGGACACCTAATTGCCAATCAAGATTTGCGACACCTAACCCGTGTCGTGTGGCCTTGTTTGTGTGGGACCGGGGAATCCACACCGGACGTCACGTCTGCGGTTTTCTGCTGCTGCCAGCCGAAAACCGAGAGCACCACCACGATTTCCGCCGTCCTCAGAAAAAGTCACTTTCTCGAGTTGAGAAACTCTTGCTTGCTTGCTTCTCTCTCTACAGTTCCAGTCACCGCAGTTACAGCTCTGTTAAAATCACGGCCACCTTGCCAAATCTTTGAACTTTTTTTTTTGATACGCCAAATGTTTGAATCTATTAATAACCAGGGACTTTTGGTCACTCATGCAGCAGTGTCAAAGGCCTGACCCTGACCCTGACCCTGACCCTGACCCTGTTGCCCCTTGCCAGTTCACGCGTGCCATGACTAGCTCCCATCGCGTGTCAAACTCACAGTAGTGGTTGTGGTTGGTAACTCTTTTCGTTTCAAGAAGCTTTTTTCGGTAGCACACAGATAATGCCGAAGCTAGCTAGTAAGTAGTAACCCACATCATTCATCACATCACAGTATGATAATCCCTGGGTTGGGTTGGGGACTTGGGGTTCTGTAACCTTGACCTGCACGTGGTTAGGCTGATGAATAAGCTTACACCCCCCTGATCTAGCACTGGCTGGCGACGTGGCAAGCACAAGAACCAGTGAACAGTGAAGTTAGTCCCATGCACATGCTGTTATGCTACGTCTGTCTGCAGGCTACGAGCAGAGAGGATAGCAGAGCAGAGCGTGGCCCCCTGGTATCGAGAACGACGAGGAGGAGGAGCTGAACGGCAACGGCATCTATCCTGAAAACTGCAATCCACTGCACTTCACCACCCAGCGCGCACACAACAAATGGGCTCCGCCGCTGCTCCAAAACCACGTCCGCGCCCGCCCGCCGCTTCTCGCCCCGTCCGCCGATAGTTTGGGGCCCTCATATGCCGGCATGCCGCCTATAAATCCTCGGCCTCCCCTGCATCTGGCAACACATCCATCGTCCTCGTCCTCACTCGCTCCTTTTACTCTCAGTGCCACACTGCTTCACTGGCTCACTGCTAACAGAGCTAGCTCCTTCGCCATTTCACTAGCCTTCCTTTGCTACTGCAAGTCCAAGTCTGCAACTGCATAGACCCGAGAGATGTCGACGGTGAGCCGTGCATCCCTTGACCAGAAGCTTGCCCTCGCCAAGCGATGCTCGCGAGGTACGTAGGTGTACTGGTGTACATACTGCATTAGATGTCCTCAAACAAGCTTGCCTCGAAGCGCTATGTATATGTAGTAGTAGTAGCGTAGTACACTGATCTAACTGATGCTTTTGTATCCACATGTCGTCTGCAGAGGCGACCCTTGCCGGAGCCAAGGCGGCAGCTGTGGCAACTATCGCCTCCGCGATTCCCACCGTGAGTTTCATTCCATCCTATGCAATCGTTACAGTATAAGCCTGTACCTATGTACCTCGCCATGTTCGTAACCTCTGTTGTTTCAGCTGGCGAGCGTTCGGATGCTGCCATGGGCGAAGGCCAACATCAACCCCACCGGCCAGGCTCTCATCATCTCTACAGTTGCCGGGATGGCCTATTTCATCGCCGCCGACAAGAAGATCCTCTCGCTCGCGAGGCGGCACTCGTTTGAGGAAGCTCCTGAGCACCTCAGGAACACCTCCTTCCAGGGCACCGGTCGCCTGCACCCGGCTTTCTTCAGGCCATGAGCCCATGAGACATCCATCGACCTACCTCTTCGTCAGTATATGCACCAGATGCTGTCGATGTTTCACCAAAAAAAAAAAAAGATGCCGTCGATGACTGAATATAATAAACTGCTAGCTAGGCTGACGCTCTAGTCGCGCACTAATCATCATCGATGTGCTAGTAATATTACTCCAGTAGTACTATATATCGTTGTAATTACTTTGTACTTTTGGTGGGCAATTCAGAATGAATGCAAATTTAATTTCTGTTCCTAATTAACCAACTTTATGTGCTATTTTTCTGATAAAAATTCATCTTCATGTCAGTAGTGGCCATAGCCATATACATTGCCGTTGCAGAAAGAAAAAGATGGTGTACTATTTTTACCATCTCTGACTGGAGAGCCTTGACAAAACCTCTACATAATCCTCACGAAACACGATATTCTATCATAAAAGAGTGTAACAAAAATGTTGGTATATACGTACATATATTTTCTAAATTTTTTACTATTTACCTTTTCCAGTCCTAGGACTGGAAAGCCGAAACGAGTCACTGATCTGCGTATACGGCACGTGCTTGGAGCACTGACAGTGGCTTGTTAATTAGTTGTTGACGTGTGTCCGGAATCCATGCACCGTGTCAAACTTACACTGGTTTACTAATACACTAACAATTAATTAATAATTCATGTGCGAAGGAATTTGAAGCCTCATGGAGCCTCAGCGACTCAGCTAGTAGTTTTGTGAGATTGTCCTTTTGCATTATCACTAGCCCAGTAGCCAGCCTATCCAGTAGAATGGCAGAAGGTGGTAATCCTGTAGTATGCCATGCATAGCACACTGGTTGCATTTATACCATGAGTTCAGATATGCAGCGAAACAAGATTGGAAGGAGTTTAGGTTTAGCTCTGTTGTCAATAAAAGTAGCATAGTTTGGATGAAGACTTATATATAGACACTAGTACAACCGGATTGGATTGGATGTGAAAATTGGAGGAGACAGCGGAGGATAAGCTATCGATGCCGTACACGTACTACTTGAGTGAGTGGGGGCACAAAAGCTCGCAGCAGAAAGGCAAAGTAGCCCACAGACCAAGATGCCACGGCGTCGGTGGTCTCCACAGCTGCCCTGCCCATCCGAAAACTGGGACCGCCCCCAAAAACTGCTCACTTCCAGTTCCGTATATACTACAGCCTTGTTTAGCTGTATGATGTAAAATTTTGTGGTGTTACATCGGATATCATATAGAGGTGTTATATAGGGTGTTTGAATATTAATAAAAAATAAATTACAGAATCCGTCAGTAAATCTCGAGGCGAATTTATTAAGTCTAACTAATACATCATTAGTATATATGTTACTGTAGCACTTTATTGTCAAATCATGGTTTAATTAGGCTTAAAAGATTCATCTTGCAAAGTAGTCGCAATCTGTACAATTAATTATTTTTTAGTCTATATTTAATGCTATATATATATATATATATATATATATATATATATATATATATATATATATATATATATATATATATGTTCAAAATGTTTGATGGAATATGACATAAACTCTTGAAGAAGAACTAAACAAGGCCGTAATATATTGCCTGCGTTCTCTGTCAAACTGTCTCAGTACGTCGTAAGATTGTTTTGACCATTCAGTAGTCCATCCATCAGTGGCACACGGATGTCGGCCAACTTTAGAGCATGGTCTTCTTTCTCTGGGTTTGGGCACTGCGCACATGATTAGGCATGGGCAGTAATCCAGTTTAGTGACATCTCATAGTACTAAACTACTGGCCTTGTTTCTTGCACGCATTTGTGTTGCACGCCTGCAAAAAAGGGAAAACGGTGTTGCACGCCTGCAAAAAAGGGAAAACGGTATGGTCAGCGCCGGAACGTCCGGACACTGACCCCCCTCTAGATGCCCGCGCCTAGCCCGCCTCCTACGCAAGCTGCTGCGCCCGCCTGCCCCGCGCTTGCTGCTACGCCTACCCGACATTTGCGACTCCGTGCGCTCGTCGGCCGAGGTCGAACTGCCATGGCGAGATAGAGGGAGGGAAAGAGAGGGCGAGGGGCGCCGCGCGAGGAAGGAGGCGAAGCCCTGCGGCAGGTCGCTGGTCTGCGCAGCCACCATCGCCATTATAGCATGTGCAACACCCAATCTACTTCTAAAACATCCAGATGAAATATTTGCAACACACGTCTGAAGACAGATGAAACACTTGAAACATGCGTGCATAGCCATTTGCAACATGTGCAACACGAAGGTTTACTTTTGAAACAATTAAAACACTTGAAACATAGTCTTGCAATATGTGTATTTTGTCATTCCAACATCTAGATCTACTTTTATAGCATCCAGATGAAACACTTGAAATAAAGTCTGGAATGCTTGAAACACTTGAAAACATATGCAACATACAGATCTATTTTTGTAACATCTAGATGAAACACTTGAAACAAAAGTCTGAAACTCCTGAAACACATAGAACACAACGTTCGTCGCACGGCCTCGGCCTACCTAGTACAGAACTGCGGTAGATCGGCGAGGAGGACAGGGAGCGGATGGAGGCTGCCCTGGCGGAGGTGATGGAGTGGCAATTGTGAGGCCCAGTCGATTAAAGGCCGGCCGAGGAGAGCCACCATCTAGAGGGGCCCCGCGTAGGGGCGGATCCAGCAGGGGGGGGGGGGCTCAAGCCCCCCCTACCCAAACCGAAACAGTGTAAATTACTGTAGAGACCTATGAATTTTTAGGTAAAGTTCTATAGTGTAGGGGGGCTGAGATTTAAGATCGAGCAGCAGTGTTGTTCAGTCACCCCTAAAATATTTTCTGGATCCGCCACTGGCCCCGCGAGGAGCGCCATCTTCCAGGCCACCACCCCTGATGCCGTGAGCTGCTGCAGCACGGTCGCCAACGTTGATAGCACGTACCCTATCGGAGCCGGCTGGCCAAGCCGCGATGGCGTTGGAGCGGCCGAGCGGGGCAGGATGCGGCGTTGGAGCGGCCGCGTGGGCAGGATGCGGCGGTGGAGCCTGCCGCGATGGTCAGTTGAGGAAATGGTGATTTTTTTAAGTAAAAGGCATTAGAGAGATGAGTGTCCGGTTGACTGGGTCGGTCCGCAGGCCCCACAAGCAAGCATCCGGACAGATGAAGATGGACGGACGTCCTGGCTGTAGCATTATCGTTGTGGTTACGGTATATCAAGAAGTTCGTCGTCCTTGATGAATAAACAGATATATTGTGCTCATGCACCATACGTACGCGCGTTAGTCCAATACACTTTTCTAGGACGCTTTAATTTCGAACCTTTTACTCCTAGACTAGACTTGATAGATACTTTCTCCGTCCCAGAAAGAAAATTGTTATAGGATACGTCCAGATCAAATTTTCTCATCTTTAACTAAGTTTATAGAAAATACGTATAATATTTATATCTCTAAATAAGTTTTATTATGAAAATATATTCAACGATCCATCTAATAATATTAAATATTTATTATAAATATTAATATTTTTTATATATAATTAATCAAAGTTAAAAAAAATTGATTTTTTGAGAAATAGGAATAACTTCTGATTTGAGACGGAGAGAGTACTACGGTGCTGCTGATGCTGCCACCTAACTCCCTCACTCACGATATTCGGTCATCGGTCCAACCAGGAATCACAAAATCCTGCGTCTCCCTGTGACTCTATCAAACCACAGTTTTGTGATTGTGACGACGACAAAGCTGAAAGCTGCTGCTCTCCTACTCACAGTGCAGCAACGTATCATTCACACGTACGCCTACAGGCTACAGCCACTAAAGGCAGTTGGCCACCAACTTTCACCACTTGAAACGGGCCGGCCCGCTCGGCTGCTGGATTTCCGTTCCCCCAAAAACCGTGGCTGCAATGCAAGCTCTCTGATCGCTAATGCTGTGCCGTCGATGCCTGCCTGGACCTGGCTCAACAACTGCAGATCGACGGGCATGCATGCTAAGAGAAAGTAATTGTGTTTGCGGTTGCTCCAAATAATTAATAAGCATATATAATGAAGTACTGCATTTTGTGTTTCTGAACCCGACCATGAACTCGGTATAGTCTATAGCGTATCATTTTTTTCATAGTTTGGTGCTTTTAAACGGTTACCCAATAGGTGGACTAGTTTACCCTTTAGAAGGAAGAGGCGGTCCTAAAACCATGAATAAACACCTACTGTTCACTCACGGTCCATGATGACTTGGGAGATAATGCGTGCTTTGTTTTGTCCTCGTTTATTTTATTTTATTTATATCTTGCCTCTGCATTTTTAAAATAAACTCAAGAGTTATCTTTGTTTCATTTGAAGGAATCAACGGTGTCAATTTAAATAAAAAATATTAGTTTTGCCGCGTGTGAATTTACGCATAGGTTTTCGACTCTTAGGTTTTTACGCAAGAGAGAGAATTTTTACTGCAAAATAATTTGTAAATACATATTATTTATTTTGACCTGTAGAGACATAGATGCTCATAAATACGAGTATGCACTCATCGCTATGAACGTATGTATGCACATCCTACTGTATGTGTACCTCTGAAAAACTAAATTGTATCCATAATTTTAAAACGAAACAAAACTTAAGAACAAGTTGCACATGCTTAATCAAGCATCAGCCTACTGTGATTGTATCTGAAAATCACAGGAGACAGCAGAGGATAAGCTATCCGTTCCGTACTACTCGAGTGTGGGCGCGCAAAAGCACGCAACGCAAGCAACAGGCATGAGCACACAGACCGAGACGCCACGCTGCCCCTGCCTGCCTCCGCCTCTGCTCTATTGGGCTGTATTAAAATCGACTCATAAATCAGCTGAATCTGTTTTGTTGTGAAACAAAAACTTTAGGTTCTGGCCCATAGGCCAGCTGATAAGTTGGCCTGCGGAGTAAAACAGTGCTAAATGCTCTGCCGACAGGTCGTCGGTGAGACTCTTCTGACCCTTCACACCACGTCCACATCAGTGGGCACTAGCTAGCTCACCGCACACGGATGCCCGAACCTAGAGCATGGTTTTCTTTCTTTTTCTGGGTTTGAGCACTGCGCACATGATTTTGATTAGGATTAGGCATGGGGAGTTGGGCATCTAACAGGCACGGTAATCCAGTTTGGTGACATCTCAGATTAAATTAGTGGCATTGTTTCTTGCACGCATTTCTTTTCAGTTTCTTTGTACTCTGGACGGTGACGAGTACTCGTACTGGAAGCAGTAAAGTACATGGAATCCCAAGATACATGCATGCACCACCATCCAGATAATTAAGGGCCTGGGCTGAGCGGCACAACACGACACATGGGTTTCGCCCAAAACCAAAACCAGGTTCTTGCCCGCCGCTTCTCCCTGGCCGGCATCCGCAGTCCGCTCATCCTTACAGCTGCTAACTTCTCTCGATGGTTTTGTAGAGGATAAGCTGACTGAATCTAATTTGTTATGAAAGAAAAATACTATTTCATAACTGATAAACCAGAGTAATAAATTCAAGCGAAGAGGCCAGCCTCCCTTGAGCCCTGGAAGTCGCAACCCACTGCCGCTTCATTCAATCATCACTAGCCAACTTCTCCTAACACTGCAGTCTGCAACTGCAATCGCATATAGTCGCATTGCGAACACAAGAAGAAAACCAGCATCATGTCGACGGTGAGCCGTGCATCACTTGACCAGAAGCTTGCCCTCGCCAAGCGATGCTCGCGAGGTACGTATACTTACTACATTCATAGCCACTGTGGACACAACGCCTTAAAGTGAATAATACTCTCCTTAAAGTGAAGTTGATGCCTCGTCGAATAAACTACTGCTACGAGTAGTCAACAGCAACTAGAACTCAAACGATGCGTTCACAGCCTCAAAAAGTTGTAACTAGCTTGTACTCCGATCCATTATATAAGCAGAGTAAAGCGCTGCTTTTTGTGTTCCTCAAGGACCTCAACAATGAACTTGTTTGATTGTGGTAATGGGCCCACCCCACCCATATATCTGTTTCTTTATTCCTCTCTCTCTTTCTCTCTCTCGCCCTATAACTCTAAAACCTCCCGCTCACTGATGATAAAATGTTTCCCAATATATATTAGGAAAATATTTCTCTTTTTTTAAAAAAAATGTGTTTAGGAAATTAAAAAAAACAATTTTTAGTAGAGTGTCTAAAATACTCCCTCTATCCCTTAATGTGTGTCACCGTAGAATTTGGCTCAGGAAACAAGGAAGCCTATAAAGTAGCCTTTCCTAGTTGCAGATTACTATAGAATGGACATGTCAATAATGCTTCACTTTTTTTTTGTAACATCTGCATGGGCTTGTGCGTGGTGGTGTGAGGGGGGCGACTAGCGCGTGACGTCGTGGGAATCCGAACCTATACTTGGGAACCCGCGTCTATAGACAGACGACAGATATTAAGGGACAACATTTCAATCCCAGGACAACAGACGTTAAGGGACGGAGGGAATAGACACGAGCTCAGCGCCTAATGCAATTGTGAAAGAATATATTTTGAGCACATAAAATACATACAAGCATGTCATTCATTTACCCAATATCATATTTTGGATCTCCCAACTTATAGAGAAGAATACAAAATAAGGTGTTCAAATAAGGGACGTGCCTCATGCGCTCGAAACGGCATGACTATCAAGCGGTGAAGCTTAGACGACCGATGCCCCTCCATTTGTTCACTTCTTTTCTTCTACCTTTGAATGGCCACTAGTCCGTGGCGCGCGCCCTCGCGCGCGTCGTGCATTGACACAGCTAAAGCTTACTTTATAAAACCAAATCTGAAGTTTTTGTACAACTAAGAGCAGCGGAAGCATATATATATATATATATATATATATATATATATATATATATATATATATATATATATATATATATATATATATATATGAAGCATATATATATATGGCGCTGAAGCACATAATGTCATACAGGAATATTGTTCCTAATAATCAATATACATGACTGTTTTCAGCTGAGACACGCATAAGTCCAAGAAAGGATTTCTTGTTATACCTTAACATAAGTAGGTAAGCTACTGCCACTTTTGGATAAAACATTGCCAAAGAACTGTTCTAAGATTGATACCGAATCATCCTTCCTAACTGGATCAACATTTCTTGATTTGCCATCTTTTCCAATAGAATACTTACTCATTACGTCAGCTTCCCAATCCTCGCTCCCTTCTCTTTACTTTCACATGTGAAAATTTGTTGGTGCCTGGTCACCCTCTAGCTGACCACCGAGGCATGCAACAGTAAACATGTTAGCCTCAGTAGTAGCACTATGACAGTACAAAGTTGAAACATATTACGCAACACTACAACATTGATGGAGCTATCCCTCTTTTGCTAAGGAAATGACTCTATCAGAGATAGAAACCGGAGGTTCTATCTCCAATAAACACAGGGTCTTCAGAATAAGGTATCAACGACTCCAAGGTAGGAGATTTGTGTGTGTAATCACTAGCATTCTATTAGCTGTTGAAGTGACATCTGGATACACACCTTCGGCTCATGTGAGATGTTAGATGACTGTGGCTGAAGTTTCTTGTCCAAGTGCATTTGCAAAACTCGGCAGGACAAGCGGCATGGCTGCAGGAGCTAGTAGAACTGAAGATGGTTTAGTGGTATCTTGCTGATATGAGCATACTAAGGAACCATTTAACTCCTCATTTTTAGTTTTGGCATTTGCCTTTGCAGTAGATGTCTGTAACTGTGAAATGATATCATTACTGGGATTCTTCTTTAGGATATCAGGACCATCCTTCTTTCCATGCATTGCCTTGTGTTGCTCTTTTCTCATCAACTCCCAAGACGCCGCATACAGGCCAATGTGAGACAAAATCGATGACTGCAGCGAGGAAAGAAAAGGATGTTTTATGTTGTAGTAAGAGAATCTGACCCTCCGCTTCCTTTCTTCTTCTGTTGTATCCTCATTTGATAATTTAAAAGACCCAAATGTCTCATCATTCATTGAGTCAATATCTTTCCGCGAGAAAGGAGCAGCATGTCATTAATGTGAGAGGTACTTATAAAAATTCAAAAGATTGCCGATTCTAAGACGATGAAAGGAAGGCAGAGAAGCTAGCAGCGAGCACCAACCTTGTAAGGACGTGGTGGTGCACGGGAGCGTTCGAGGTCCTGTTTTTTCTTTGAGGCACAGTGCCATGATCCTTTGATGGCAATCGCCAAAGATATATCGATGGCCTAGGGAAACCACCACTTCCCGATGAGGGCCATCGTGCTCCATCTTCGCCAATTGGATCATCTTGGTTTCCAAAACGGCTGTGCATGGCATCATTAGTAACCCCACGACTTAAAGTAAGCATCCACTTTCCTAATCGCCCACAAAGCAAGTATGGGACGGGATGAAGTAAATGTGCATGATTTATTAACAATATGACCATGCAGATGATTGTTGTCCAACTCCCTCGGTTTACTATTGGTGAATTCAATGCAGTCATGTACCTGAGTAGACCACAAAGCTTTTGAAAGCCAAAGTCCACAATACAATGAATACCATATTATAGGCAAAAATGGTCGGAGAGAACCAATTAAACTAATAAATCGTAGACTGCCAACTTTGAGAACGTAATGACTATTGGAAAATATTACACAAATAGAAGAGCAATTTTACCCTGTGTCTAAGACCCGCGATCGGGTAACTCCCCATCCCGACCGCTTTATCCAGATGAGCGAGTGTCCCACCTCCTTCCAGTGTTCCCACTAGGAGAAGAGTAGGTATAGCCCCCGAGGCCCCAAGCCGTGTGGCCGTCCCTGGATGTGTTGTAGTACCTCTTGATTCTCTCAAGCATAGCCGCTGATAGTTCCTGTAGCTCACTGTTGGAGAAGCAATAGCAAAGATCGTCAAACAGAAATCCCACTGGCCGCTGGGAAAAAGGCCTAAGCAATAGAAAACAAGGCGAAATGACCTAAGAAGCGGTGTATCAAAGTCAGGGGGCAACTTCTTGCAATGTTCCAACTCGCCAAACGATAGGAGAAACTCCTTGGAGTACACTATCCTCGTTGTCATCCTGTCATGGATACAAGGGCAGACCCAGTAAAGGATATAGGTGTACACATGTACACCTGAAAGTTCCACAGAGGAAAATTGAAACCGGTAACATATCAAAAAAAGAGCTGTAACACCCCGGTGTTATGCCTGCATTTAGTCACTGCAAATCATGCATATCATGCATCATCAAGCATTCTAATCACACATGCCTAATCATGTAAATAACAATTGAAACACTGCTTCGAAACATTTGAAACATGTTGTGAAACCTGAATGTGTATACTTTTGTTAGACTTGTTTTGCCCTGATTTTGCTTGCTAGGTTAGTAAAACATGTTTGGCTACTATTGTAAATCATCTAGCAATGTTTAGTTCAATTTTTGGAGCAAAGTTTGTATTCAATTAATTCAAAATTTGGCTTCAAAAATAAATTCCCAAAAATTAGGGTTTTGAGTTAAACGTGGACTTTGACCTTACAATTCAAAATCTAGAAAGAATTTGACTGTGGTCATAAAAGCAAAGTTGTAGAAAATTAAATTCTAATCAACTTTCATTTTTGGTACATTTTCAAAAGATGTCATTTTCTTGCTCAAAATAATATTTGAAAGATGGCATTTAAAAATTCCTTGAAAATACAAATGAAAAAGGCTTTTCCCTCCTTCGCGGGCCGTCGCCTCACTTCTGGCCCACGACCGAAGTCGGCCCAGCCAGCCTCCCGCGCGCGCCTCGCCTCGCCTCAATTTCAGCCCAGGCCAGCTGGCCGGCCTTGGCTTGCCCACAGCCTTTTTGCTTGTGCAGCCACGCGCGCGCGTCCGGCACATGGCAGAGCTTGCTCGCCGCGTGGCGACCATGCGTCGGCGTCGCGCTTGTGCTGTGGCCACGGCGGCGACCAGCGCCCCGCGCGCCCTCCTTCACCTACCGAAGCCAGTGCGCTCGCTGGCTCATTCCCACGCTGCCTCTCCTCTCCGCCAGAGCCGAGCGCCCGCAGCTCTGCCTCTCGCCGCGCCGCGCACCCGCCGGCGAAATCCACCGCGGCTCCTCCACCTCGGCCAGCAAGCATGCGCTCGCAGCTCCGCCTCGCCCTCCTTCAAGTTGTGCTCGCATTTGCGTCGCTGCCGAAACACGGTAGAAACCATCTAGAGCTATCTCAGCTTTGCCATCGCCATGGCATGGCGTGCTGCTGGATGGCCGCCATGGGAGGCCCCTCCATTCTCTTCTCGGGCCCGCTTAGCTACCCTACCACATTCGCCATCTTCTCGCGCATCACGTGCGCCGACTAGCTCACCCTGCCGTGGCCGGAGATGGCCGCCGGCCTGGCGTAGCGAGCAGCCGCAGCAGCCAACAAGAAGCTGGCCAGCATGGCCTCTCTGCCTCACCACCAAAGGCCGAGAGCAGTTGTGGGCGGCGACGCTGCGGGCCGTCTTCCCCTCCCTTGCGCTCGGGCCGCGCAGGCCAAAAGCGGCCGTGGGCCAGCTGATTCCAGCGGGCCGACCCAGAAGCGATTGAAGGAATTATTTTCAATTTATTTTTTATGATTTGAAAATAGAAATGGTTTGCAAAATGTTTGGGTACTCAAAGTTGCTCCAAATTTGTTGAAATAAATTTGTCTAGGTTCCTTATCATCAGATCCACTAGGGAAAATTATTGCATGTCATTTTTGAAATACTTTTCTGTAGAATTTTATTTAATCATGTATATTGCTGATAACTTGAAAAATATGTAGAAAATTCTATAGGCTTCAGAAAAATATGATTCCAAGTTTGTTAATCTTCTTATGTCATGTATTTCCTAGGAAAAATAGGTTTCATGCATGTGTTGTGGGAAAATTTTGAGGTGTAGTTCAAGTACTTTTAATGGCTGATTTTGTTATTTTAGTTAGAGAGCAAACTTTGTATAAAACATGCATGTGATAATTTTTGTACAGTCATTGTATGCTATGAAGAACCTAGGAAAAATACTAACTCTGTTGTTTGACACTTTTCATAGTTCAAAGTATTTTTATGTTCATAATCCTGCCATGCCTTGTCATTTTTGTGTAGACTATTTTACTTATCCAAACGCCATGAAAATTTTATGGTAGTCTACTTAGAGTAGTACTATGCTACTGTAATTTTCTTAGATTTTTATAAGCACCAGAAATATAGGTTGCTGTTGTAGCCCTAGTTTAAAATGAAATAAAATAATCCTCTTTAATGCAAGTTAGTTAATAATGTTAGCTTTGGTGTATCTTTGAAGCATTTAATAAGATGTGTTGACTTAACATATTAGTAGTAGAAGAGAATGCAGTAGATGACATGTGCTTGTAGTATATTTTCTTGGATGATGTTGACTACCTTGCATTCAAACATATCCATTGTATTCATCTCATCCGATGCACCGATTGCATAAGCACTTACGCACATTGCATCATACAGGATCGCAAATCGAGAATCCAGTCGTCATACCCGAAGAGCCCGAGGAGCAGTTCGAGGTGCAGCCGCAGGAAGTGCCAGAAGCCGACGAGGAGGACGTTGAGGAACTTCCGGAGTGCCCCAATCACCGTCCGAGCTCCTTCGAGAGAGGCAAGCCCCGGAGCATTTTTCTCCCGGTTTGCAATTATTTAATTAAATGCTTTACTTTAATTGATGCATTACGTTCAGGAGTTGTTTGCAACCGTTGCTGCATTATACCTTGTTTACCTTTGTTATACTATATCCTTGTTACCCTGGTATCCGCAGTCGAGTCAATGCTTAGCTGGCTTAGACCGGTAGAAGTCGGGTGATTTCCTGTCACCTGCGAGCTATAGGTGGTTACCTGGATCTGCTTGGATGACTATGAAGTCATGGTATAACTAAGTGTTAAATGAAGTTGAGACCGGACGGAGACTTGCAGAGTTTTGGACTGTAGTGTTTCCGTCTGTGTCGATTAAGGACCGACCGTTGTTGGGCCTCGAGTCATGTTGAACGCATGCCTTACATTTAGCTGGCCGGATAAAGTACCTTCCGACCGCGAAGCTGGGAGATTTTTCGGGCCGAGTAGATTGCCCGCAGCGCACTGTGCCGGAGCAGGTGTGGTAGGACACGGGGGCGAGATGATAAGACCAAAGTGCAGTCGGTCGGCCCCCGGGTACATGTGGTTCCTGGCAAACTCGAGATACCTAGAAAGTTGACTCGGTGATCAATATCTCACTTTAGCGGGTGAGTGAGGTTTGTGTAAGGAATAAATCACCAGCTGGTTAGGAATCGATTCGAATCGCCATCGCTCCTGGATAGTGAGCACTTGACTTGAGTTACTTCATCGTAGTAAATGTTTATGGAACACTTGGACAGTTATAGTGAATATGACAGTATGGAAGTTGTTTAATGATCATTGGTTATCATTATCTGCTTAATCATATGTTTGCTCTAGTTTAGGTGCAAATCTAGTCGACAGGTTAATAATAATTAACTTGACAATAATGTTTTTAGAAAAGTTCTTGAAATGCTAAAAATGCTTCTTTTGCAAATGAGTCAGCTACCCTACCATAAAGCCTTCATAATCCTTGGTGTCATTTATTTTCGGTTATGTCGGGTAAGTCTAGCTGAGTACCTTCTCGTACTCAGGGTTTTATTCCCACTTGTTGTAGATGGGCAGATGTATTACGGCTACTGTATCAACTGCCTTTATCCTGCGATGGGTGATGCCTAGGACCATGGGCATGGTCATTCCTTACGTCTCGTCTAATGCTTTTGTTGGAGATGATCATTCGCTGGCACTGTATTTAAACTCCGTGTGAGTGTGTGTGTGGTTTGAACAAATGACTTCCGCTACTTTTATTCGAACTTGTTTTGTAATAACTATGTTTAAACTCTGATGTATCTGAGATGCAAACTTTTATGTAATATGTGATGGTGACCGCTAAACTTATTACGATCTTGGCTGGAATGGAAATTGGTTTGAAATCCTTCGTGATTTCACGGACTACCGGGTTATACGGGCTTAAGTTTGCTAAATCGTCTGCTCTGGCGGCTGATTTTCTTACTTAATTTCATATAATTGGTCGGTTCTGTTACAGCTGGCATCAGAGCATGGTTTAGCGTGTTACTGTTCACAAGTGTATTTAAAACAAAAAGGCATTTGAAAAACGTGATTTCCAAACTATAAAGTGTGCCAGTGGTCATATCCTTTATGCCCAGTTAAGGACTCTAGGTGGCTTAATTAAGTACTGACTTGGGGTTCTTGCATCATATTTCTCTTTCGTCGCTCATACGGCGTGCT